AAGCGTGATTTACCTTGATGAAAACAAAATGAATTGGGAAAACACAGGCCATGTGTTCAGAGCTACCATCTCTTTAAGGCTGAGTGCCGCTCCTGAGAGCTTCACCTGAGTTCACGTGCCGCGGCGGCAGTCAGCGCTCCTCTGCGAGCTCCGGGGAGGAGGCAGTTAGCCGTTATAGCGCCTCTTTTCCCGCAGGAACCAGCTGCTCTCTTGTTTTTCTGACTCTCCACAGGCTGTTCTTTCTCCTCCCCGCTTCCCGGGGGATTTCCACGGCACCTGCTCAGCTTAAATGGTGGATCCTTTTCTTCGACAGAACAACAACAATTTTCATTCACCCATCTGTTTAGGAAACAGTTGTCATACCTGCTTGGGGCTCTGAATGTGCTAGAAAATGCTTCCTAAAATGCAAGTATGCATCCTTTCATCTTGTGTCACGCTAAGATTTTCTTTCTCATATATGTGCAGCAACGTTTCTGTTACCTTTCCCCAAGGTCGAAGTAGAAATAATAACTGAGTAATGGGAATAAATGCATGCACCTCTATCCTCTCCTCTCCACTCTCCCTCTGTCATCCACCTTCCCCTGTCAGCAGCATCACATATCAGTGGCGTCATGATAGCAGCAGGAAGAGCTGATGAGGAACAACCTCGAGAGAGAGAGCGAGCATGGCATTTGTTTAAATGACTTCCTTCAGCCTCGTACACCTCGCTGACTCCAGACCAGTGGAGCAGTTGCTAAAATCTGACCCTCATTGCGTGTGGACACACACACACACACGCACGCACACGAAATCTATTTTTGGATACACGGCCGAATATTGGGCCATATTGAGGAGAGGTGCAGACACCAGTGTGTGTGTGTGTGTGTCTGTGTTGTAACTGCTGTTCACTGCCACTGAAAGGATTCGTATTCTAACTTATTGTTTTAGCTCAGCTCCTCCTGATGTTCGTTGGCTGAAAACGTGAGTTAATTAGCGGAAAATGAACAATCATTTTCATAATCGACCTATTGTTTATGTCTGTGATTCGCAAACTGGTAAAGCAAAGCAAATGCAGGAGAAAAATCATGGAGAGGTGGGAAAAAGTTTAGTTCAGCCTGAGTCTGGGAACAATAACTAAAATAACGGCTGCTCTCTAGCTAGCAAAGATTTAAAGATTCAGGTTAGCGGGACGAGGGACAGATTTTTGAGAAGGAAGAGAAGAAACCGGTTCTGGAATATGGAGAAGCCTATCCTTAAGTTCAAGAGCCTTTTATCTTCCATCCATCCATCCATCCATCCATTTTCTTCTGCTTATCTGGGGTCGTGTCGCGGTGGCAGCAGGCTAAACTCTGTAGTCCACGCCCCTCTCTCCAACAATGCTTTCCAGCTCCTCCTGGGCGGATCCTGAGGCGTCTCTTCCAGCGAGTTCTGTGTCTCCCCCGGGGTCTCCTCCTAGTTTGACGTGCCTGGAGAACCTCCAAAGGGAGGCGCCCCAGAGGCATCCTAATCAGATGCCTGAACCACCTCAACTGGTTCCTTTCGACATGAAGGAGCAGTGACTCTACTCTGAGGCTGAGCTCAGCCACCCTGCGGAGGAAACGCATTTCAGCCGCTGAGGGTCGGGACAAAGATCTAAATCGAGAGCTTTGCCTTCCGGCTCAGCTCCCTCTTCACCATAATGGTCCGGTACAACGTCCGCATTGTTGCTGACGCAGCAACCGATCTGTCTGAAGCCAACACATCCCCACCATCTGCGAAAAGCAAAAAAAAAAAAAAAAAATGCAATTATGAGACACACTCCTCACCTCAGCTGTGCCTTGAGATCCTGTCCGTGAATATCACGAACCGGATCGGAGACAAGGGACAACCTTGGCACAGTCCAACACTCACTGACAGCGCGTTTGACTTCGTGCCGAGAATACGGACACAGCTATTCCTCATCTTCTATCTTTGATGTCTGAAAACTCTGGGCAAACGCTTTGTTCTTGATTATGTTATTTCTGGCCCGTTGTTTCCAATTTTGCCCCGTATTTTGATGAAAATGTAATTGATCTACCTGTTGGGGATAGTTCCAGTTTATAGAGGAGGAAATCTGGCTGCTTTCCTTTTGTTTTATATCGTTATAAACTGAAAATATATTTGGGGTTTTGAACTGTGGGTCGCGCAAAACAAGACATCGCCCGCGGCTCTTGGAAATTGTGAGGACATCTCAAAGGACACATTTACACACACATGTCAAAAGTCTTCACGTGCTTTCATAGTTCTCTGACATTACGCTCATACTTGTTCGGCTCCATTAATATGCAGCAGCCATTAAGGTCAAGCTGCGCTTGTGGGCTTTCCCATGTAAATACAGGCACATACATATGGAAAAAGATGTGATTATTAAAGGAAGAGGGGCGGAGATAAAGGGAATGATTGCATGACCAGACAACACTGATGTTTGAGTAAACACACAGCAACCTAATTAGTAGGAAAGGTGTTCTGTGGAAGTCAGACACAATGTTTAGTTTCATGATGTGGTAGTTTATAGTAGACGAAGGGCAGAGCCAGGCCGTGTGTGTGTGTGTGTGTGTGTGTGTGTGTGTGTGTGTGTGTGTGTGTGTGTGTGTGTGTGTGTGTGTGTGTGTGTGTGTGTGTGTGTGTGTGTGTGTGTGAGAGAGAGAGATGTGGCAGGGGATGGCTTTTAATCTGAAAGAGGCATGTGAAGCAGGTGCAGTGCCCCGTGCCGCAGACGGGGGGCGTTGTAGGACATGAGAATCTGGAGGGATCCGAGAGGAGAAGGGATCTCAGTGCGATAGGTCCCCACCGCCGGAGCCGCGCTTCGACGGTCGCTCTCCCTCACTCACTCGCAGCAGCACACACTCTCTCTTACACTTCTTCCCTTCTCCTCCTCTTTTCCCGCTCTCTCTCTCTCTCGCTGTCTGTCTCTCTCTCTCTATCTATCTCTCTCAGTCACACACACACACACACACACACACACACACACTCTTTGCCTCGGTGCCACTCATTTTGCCGCGCTCTCCTGTTTCATCTCTCCCACCGTGGAGTGCACAGAGAGGTGATTGGACTCCCGGTGCTGCCTGGCAGCGGCTGCATTGGGGCAAACAGAGACAGAGTTGGGGACCTGAGTGACAGGACAGTACTGTGTGTGTGTGTGTGTGTGTCTGTGTGTGTGTGTGTGTGTGTGTGTGTGGTGTGGGGGGGGGAGGGGGGGGGGGGGGGGGGGGTTCCAGTGGGGAAAAGATCCGGCGCAAGATTTCGTCCAGCGGAGATTATTTGCATCACAAAACCTGTGGAAAGAGGACTCTGACTCTACACTGGATGAACAACCAGTGTCCGCGCAAGAGGTGCCATTTAGTGTGTTACTATGTGCATGTGTGTGTGTGTGAGTGTGAGTCCGCTCACCTTTTCAGTATGCAGATTCATTGGCTTGGCTTCTTTTCTCATGCAAATGTAAATTGGCTGGTCGCGCTGCTCCACGTCTCTCTGACAGACACACAGATGGTCTCAGCGCGGTCTCACTGAATTCAGGTTTGCATGATTATAACGCAGCCTCCGTGAGTGAGTTCAGCTCTGGCGGATTAGTGCATGTCGGCGTGTGTTTGTGTGTGAGAGTGTTTCGAGAAGCTGAATGTGCTAAATAAAATACCCCCCCCCCTTCCCTAAATATGACAGAAAACTTCCGAACTATGTGAAACATGAATTAATGTGCCGCTCATTAATGTGACCCACCTTCTTGTCTGAGCGCTTTACAGTCTATTGCGTGTGTGTGTGTGTGTGTGTGTGTGTGTGTGTGTTCGGCTGCATCATCATGTATGTTATATGCTCTCAAACATATATGCCTGGATGTCACTGCCTCCGGATCACAGAGAGAGGAGGTGGTGGTGGTGGTGGTGGTGGTGGTGATGGGGGAGCTAAATGCTATGTGGCGCCGTGCCAAGTTGCCGCTCTAAAGAGGATGTTGAAGGTTAGACGAATGTCTTTCCAGCCTGTGCACCCCCCCCCCCCGTCTGCCTCTCTGCCTCTTTACCTCCACGCAGAGGAGTAACAAGAATGAGAAGTGCGTCGGTTCAAGCGGCATCATGAGGAATCCCTTAAGTAACGTCAAGTCGAGCTGCCCCCCCCCCCTCTCCCCCCTCCTTGCCCCCCCCCCCGTCCTGTCCTGACTCCATTTGAAATGTGATTATATTAGTGTGTGGCAGAGTAGATAGATGGAGTATTTGTTGGGGGGGGGGGCGTGGAGCTGATGCTTATTTTAGCTTTGCTCTCCCCTCTCTACTCCCTCATGGGATTTGCCCTTGCCTTCCATCTCTCTCATCCCCTACCTCCATTTCTCTGTCGCTTCCTCCATCACTTATTTTTTTATTTATTTATTTTTTTTACATATCTTCTTTCTTGCTGAGCCAGCGAGATGTACTGGTTGAAAGTGGAAGTCCATTTATGCAACTGGGACCGCTGGAGAGATGAGAGAGAGGACAGAAGGGGAGGGAGGGAGGGAGGGAGTGCTCAGGTGAGGGTGAGGGGAGGGGGGATGGAGGTAAAAACAGCCCCCGGGGGAGTCCGCCGGTGATTTATGTGTAGACATTTCTCCACACGTGTTTGGCCACCGCTCCAATTAACACCTCCACCAATCCGTGGCTGCTCCTGACAGATGCTGAAGCTGAGACAGAGGGCAGAGTGTGTTCATTAGTGTGGGCTGTGTTTGTTTGTTGGGATTTAGCAAATTCAAATTGTTTTTGCCGTGTTTTTCAGTGATTTTTGGGTCGTTTGTTTGGAGCCTCCACTGCTCGCTCTTGGAAGTTTGGAAGTTGCATAGAAAAACAGTCGGAGGCGAGCAATGTTTTTCTGGGTAATTCATAAACACATTCAGCTGTCCCCATTTCTGATTGAGGCCTGATTGCGTTCTTTTTCCTCGAACCGTTCCTTTACCTCTGCAGTCTACAGCCCCGTCACGTCATGAGTGATTTGATTTGGTGGAAGAGGTCTGGTTCTGATTACTATCCCTTGTGTTCCTCCAGGGGGCGTGATAGACAAGGACCTGCGCCACTACCTCAACCTGCGCTTCCAGAAAGGCTCGGTCGACCACGAGCTGCAGCAGATCATCCGGGACAACCTCTACCTCCGCACCGTCCCCTGTGAGTTACCTTCCTCCCTTTACACCCTTGTTACCTCACCTCACCTCCTTGAGTGAGGCACTTGTGCTGTTTCTTCTATCTCACTGAGGCTGGATGACCAATAAAGCAAAGTAGGCTGCTGCAAAGGGACCTCCAGGGCCCCCTGAAGCTCCAGGTTCATTGTGTGGCAATGTGTTTGTAATAGTTTGTTGCATTACAAAAAAAGTTCAAAGGGTGATTTCAGACATTATATTGTGGGACATGAAAGTAACAGATTAAAGAAGCCCAGATATCACCATGCAAGCACGGTCCCAACTATGAGTCAAGCTCCAAAAATACTGGATCCTGCATTTCCCATAATGCAACTTAGTGGTTTTTTTCATTACATCCACCCTGCCTCTTATACACCCCCATCTTTCAAACCCCCACACCTCAAGTTTGTGATACAGACTTTGTGATATTCATTTTAACATTAACCCTGATGACGTCACTATGACATCATCAGGGTTATATATATATATATATATAGAGAGAGAGAGAGAAGTTTTCAGGAGCTGACATTTACTCCTCATGACGCGTGAACTGATCTTTATGTAAAAACAATGGAGCGCCCCTTTAAGAAAAATCCTCTTAATCATCATCCTCCGTCTCGTTATGCTGTTTTCAGTTTCAGGACCTTTTTATTTTCTCAGTGGATGTGCTCACATGGTGCATATCTATAAACACAGTAAATCATACGGCAATTCATTTCACCTTGGACCACTCATTGACTTGTTCGGCCTGTTAGAGATCCCCCGAGACGCTCGGAATCATGCAAAGCCACATTTCCACAGCAACTGTGCAAATCTGCTAATAGCCACAGTTTGATGTGATCCAAAGCTCCGCAGCGAGCGACTACGCAGACCTAGAGTTGAAATTGATTCGTCATCCTCTGTTTCCAAGGTCAAAGATGAACTGTCAACCGCATTGTTTTTTTTATTTCATTAGTACAAGCCTATTGACACAGAACAAACCTGGGGCCAGGTAGGATGGAGGAGGAGCTGAGGGGTATGTGAGGGGAGCATATAGAAGCATAGAAAGTAGGAGGAATGGGGGGGGGGGTACATATACAGTCAATATGGACTGTATGTACTGGATATGTTCAGTTTCCCATCTGAGAACTGTGTGTGTTAGATACTTGCTTTCCATTTCCCTCTTGGCTTCAGTCCCAAATCCCACAATGGTCTGTCTGTGGCTGTAATTGATTAGCTGCTGGAGTGTTGGTTTGGGTGGAATCGGACTTGTCTGGAACTTGAACTCTTTAAAATGAAGTGTTGACTGCAGCTCTCAGTCTCTAATTAGCTGCATTAGCTGCTCCGCAAGAGTACACAACTTAGCAAGTGTTATGTAGACAATCAAAGATACAGCCTTTGGAGAGCTTTAAGCTGTTGATACTTGGTGTTTTTTAGTTCAGGAGATCATTTCAAACTCAACGCTTGTCTCATGGTGTGTGTGTGTGTGTGTGTGTGTGTGTGTGTGTGTGTGTGTGGCCTTTATCAGTCTTATTAAGCCCACAGTGCTTAAATGGGCTTAGACTTACTGATGTTTAATCCATATTCTTCTGAGTCCTGTTTGCCATTTGTTTGCTGAATATATGCTCATCGCCATCAGTCAATAGGTTGTGATATTAAAAGGTGTTTCTTTGTGTGTGTACAAGCTGTTATCTGTCTATAGCGCGTGTTAGCCTAGCCATGCCTTTAGGCCCAGCTGTCTGGTGGCTAACTCTCCCCTGAATCCTTAATGGAGATGCATTCTTCAAGGCCAGGAGCAGGCCGATTTCACTGGAGCCACTTTTCCGTCTCTCCCCCTCTGAACAGACAACAGGAGAGACAAAAAAAAAGAAGAAGAAGAAGAAAAAAAAGAGCTATTTGTTTGCAACAGAAGCGTAATTTTCTCTGATAACCGCTCACAGAGCCGGCGCCGCTGAGGCATCGGAGATAGAGAAAGAGGTGAACAGTAAGGAGTGAGAACAAATGGGAGAACAAATAGAGGGAGAAAAACACAAAAGGAAATGGTTGTGCGGGGGGGAGGGGGCTTGATGATAGGACACGGACTATGATAACCACATAAGTAAATGGACTGCAGATAAACTGTTGCAGAGAGAGAAAGGGAGGTAAGGGAAGGTTAACTGGTGCATTAATGAAGCTTCAACAATGGGCCTCAGTGCTGCCGAGAGGGAGAGGCTTAGTCATGACTGAGCTGGGCTTTTTATATCTGGATGGATGGGTGGCTGAGTGGATGGATATTCTACATGTGGTTTACCCCTTGAACTTTAATGCATGGTGCCCGTGTTGGCTTGTATGATATAAGTGTGCTGGCATTTTGACCATGACTCTCTTGGAAAACGAAAAATCTAGATCACGAGAGACCTTCTGCTCAACTGAAAGGTCAAATGACAAAATATGAGAAGCGACGTACAGCAACCTTTCATACGATGACAACTGATGGCTTGATGGAAGGTTTGGTATAACGCTGATTAGATACTATGATACCTCAGTGCACTGACGGATGGGTCGGGACGCTGACAAACAAATAAACTGACAAATAGACTAGAGAGGTTCTGTCTCTCTACAGTACAGGAACCTCTCCAGGAACCATTTTAGGAACTCTGGGTTTTGGGAGGAACTAGCCGACAGTACATGTAGTTTCTGGGCGGCAGAAAGACCCCTGCTCTGGAGTTAGTACTTTCCAATGGCCCAGGAGCTATCATAGTGGAGATTGCTGTACTGGATATTTCTCAGATGCCACACAAACGTTGAGGTGGCTACAACTTGTGTAGCACTTTCTTGTTTAGTGTGTTTTTCATGTCAATTTCGTGACTGTCATGACAGTTTAAATAAGGTTTGTTCTGGGATTTTCAGTCTTCCTTCTTGTGTGAAAATCATGGCTAACAACCCGCAGTTTTGGTTTAAAGGCACCAGACCAGGGTAGGAGAAGAAGAAGGAAGACTCTTCTCTACAGTTGAGAAACTGAGAACTACATTGGAGCCTGATCTATGTTAAGTGATAAATCTACAGGGAGACTAAAGGGCGAGAGAGAAAAGAGAATTATAAGTGAAAGATCTGAAGTAGTTCATCACTGCAATTTAAACATAACCCTTGAGTGGTAAAGAAAAGACATTTTTCTTGGGGATGAACGCTGACGGGCAGACAGTGGGGAGAGTTACTGCCACTCATACCAATCGTGGAGCTTGGACGGAGTCGGCCAGGGCAGCTAAGGCTGTGCCAGCTCTTAGACAAATTGCCTGGTTGAAATCCAAGGTCAGAGCGTTAATAGCCTGAGCCCATGTGAAATCAGGCCTATCGTCTGGTAATCCACATAGATTTGATGTGGGAGATGGAGAGCGGAGAGGAGTAAGTGTGTGTAGACTAGTCAGGACGGCTAAGTGGGCTACACTTGATCGAGAACGGCTGAATTATTTAAGGAAAATTGAACTGAAAAACATTGCAATTAAATATATGGCTTATTTATTTATTTATTTATTTATTTATTTTTTATAATCTTACTTTCACACAGTTTCAAGACTCATTTATAGGCAGTGTGTGCACTTTTATTCAGAGACCCCAGAGCCTAGCAGAAAAATATTTAAAAACATTTTTAAATATTTGAACTCATTTCCGAGCATTTGACTTAGCGCGCATGTATTTAGTGTAAACTCAAACATTTAGAGTAAATAACTTGAAGGTTGGGTACATCGACTGAAAGATTAGGGGGAAAAAGTGCCTCTCATGTTTTCCTCCAAATACTAAATCAAATATAAATATGTGCAGCGCCTCTGTTGCATGGAAATAATAAAAAAAAAATTTAAAATATGAAGGTCATCAGGATTATATGACTCATTTTCCAAAAGCCACCGAGTCTTTCATGTACTCATTACACTCGTTTCTTTCTTGTTGTTTCCTTGCTCGGCTGCTTTCCTTCTTCTCCCTTCCTTCAATCCTTCCTTCACACCGGCACACACACTCGTTCCTGTCGTTCTCAGCTGTGCCTTTTAGCTCTGTGGACTCAGTAAAGCACTTAGCGATGAGCGAGCGTGGTCTCTATCTTTGACCGGCTCTGAATAATAGAGCTGATGATCATGAGGTCAACCTCAGGTGAAAAGGTGAAGAGATGCTCTGCCAGTGTCTCACAGCCTCTTTCTCTCCACCCTCCCTACATCTAAATGACAAGAACGTGTGCATAATGACTGTAGCTGTGTCTGAAACCAGTCCCAGTGCTTCTATCTACTTTTTGCCTTTTTATTTGGTTGTAAAATGTAGAGACTACATAGTGTCCTAAAACATGCCCGGAAAATAACTAATCCATTGCATATTCTGTTCACTACTTTTTGATTGATAGAATGTTGTGTAGCAGAAATCCGTTTGTTCTTCCTGCTTTACAATCGTGTCTTGATGCCTCAGGTTTAACACTTTGTTCAATAGTTTATGTCAGTGGTTCCCTGCCCGAGGGTCGCGACTCACACAGTTATGTGGGAAAAGTGAGAGAGTCAACAATGGCGTGACTGTGGACACAACCTATGACTGTGACTAATGGTATTGAATATAGCACATGAAAAAAAGTGGGTTGAAATCTTCCATAATGGCATGTGCACTGTAGTTTTTATTCACAAGGTCAAGATATTACATTTCCTAATAGTTCCACTGCAAACCAGAAGGAGAAAGAAACTAACAAATCGACGTAATTTTTATCACATTGATGCAAAAAGTGATTGTGTCCAAAGACTGTTCTCTGTTGGTGGAGCGTACGATCAGGGACAGGGATGTCGTCTTTGTCATTTACAGATTGGAAATTTCTCTGAACATCCAGGGATAGTAGTGTTATGTAGAGTTAGCCAGCTAGCTAGCACCATTCGTCATTTTGCGAAAGGAGGTCACTGTTACGTCTCTGATTACTCAAAAACCTCAACGCCAACCCTGGGATGGGGGCTGGTGCATGATCGATCGGCGATAATGGCGATAATTGGCTGGATCTTATCCTGAGCC